TATTTTAAATTTTCATATTGTACTGAATCCCAAAATTTAAAGAATGCTTTAGCCTATCCATAATTTAGATTTTTTTATTGCAATGACACGTTATTCAATCAATACTAGCTGAAAAGTCTTATTTACATTTATCACAATAATTAATTTACATCATAGTATTGTAGTAGAGCAATCAATAGGTACAGAGGCATAATTATTATTAAAATTCTATTTATATTGTAGTCTGCCTGTTACCATTTTCTGCAAAGTAGGGTTTGAAATTTTTGTATTATTTTCATGAATAAATTATTTTTTTATTAATTAAAGTTTATTATTATTAATTGAACTATTAATTATTATTATGGTTGAACTCAACCCCCTTGTTTCTTTTATTTTTTGACAACCCTACTTTTTCTTATTTATAGAAATTTTTTTATTTACTTGTTTCCATACTTTTTATTAAATTTTATTAATTAATAATCCTTTTTATTGATAATTATAATTTTTGCCTTAGGTATCAGTTCATTAATGGAAGAAAGGAATTTTGAAATAAGAACTATAAGAAGACCCACCGCATTATAAAAACAGTTTTTGAATTTTTGAATCATTAATTATATTCATAGCCTAACTCATAATTATTAATCATTAGTTGTCATTACTAATATCTATGTCCGGTTCTGAAACAATTTAAGTTTACATTCAGCTTCAGTTGCCACTTTCCCGCTCACAGCTCTCAAACTTTTCCACAGTTTACAAGACCTGCATTGTGGAAATACACATTAATAGACCACATGAATACATTCCAATGTGCAAACAATTATTTTTGTATTTTTAATGGCACACAATAAAAGATGCATTGGCAAGCATTCATTTATATTGACTAAAGAAAGTACTTACTGTGGCCATTATTAATGATATAATCATCAAGCTAATCTACAGTATGTAACCTAGAATCATAACCTATAACAAAAATACACATGTACATAAGACATTTCACAATACTCTCCGTCTTACTACATATTCCATTGCTAAGACTACAATAATATGAAACCTATGCAGATGTAAACTGGCACCTACTACTGCATGATACAACTACTAATCCAGGAGCTGCAACAAAACATTAAGAAAGAAATTAATTTAGTTTCAACAATCTAAATCCAGAATTGCCTCTAATTATATTTCACATTCCAATTTCAAGCAAAAGTATTGCTGAATCAGCAAATCATTTCCAGCTGTAATTACCTAGAAACATATCAAAAGCAAGCAATGTAAACTCACAGGCTAATAATAACAATAGCACTTACCAATCACATCAAACCTCACTCTTTAACACCACATTGTAGTCCTTGTGCCAAGTACATAAGTACCTATAAAAAGTATGTATGTGACATACTAACTAATAATGATAATGGTAGCATCTACAATGTTTCTGATTGGATCATACATGGCATGTATTTTAGACATAATATTGCTTACTAATGATATCCTCATTTAAGATACTTTC